ACAAAGAATTCACTTTGCCAAAAAATTTAGATAAAATTTTCGATACATCAATGAAGTTAGCATGGTCAATAAATTTATGAAATACACATGCGAAAGTAAACGCGATTATTTATGCGAAATTGAGCCACCAGGGCCCAGTTTTATTGATACAGTAAAAATAAAAATAACTACAGGATATATATATTTTAGAAATTTACGTTTTTATCTGAAGTACCTGTATCAGTGGAAATATTTTGTCGACATCATTAATACCACATATACATTATATCAGAAAATAGACTTTTCAAAAATGAAATTATTGTTACATTATTTGGCTAATTTAGCCTTCTTTTGTTTTGCCGATTCTATTAACCTTTCTGCATCTTTTAATAACCAAACAACCTGTCCTAAGACCTCAGTAACCCCTTCCTCAATATTGCCACCCCAATTGATTGTAGTCCCATGTTCTGAATGAATTTTATATTCTGGCTTATCTCCATTCATAGAACACTCAAAGAAATACCAACATTTACTATCAGTAACTATTCCATACACTTTATCAATAACCAAATCATTTTCAACCTCACGTTTTCGCTTTCGAGAATTCTATTGAATAACAAAGTTAGGTTTGAATAAAATTAATATAGTTAAATTCATATTTCTACTCACCTCAAACGATGAATGAAGCTGTACGATTATTTGCGCTGCACCTTGTATAAAATCATCTCTTTTTACCTCTACAACGCTGATGATTATATTTTCCAATATCATACAAAAATCTACTGGTCCACGGCCATATCTCCCTTGAATATACTCTTCAGGATATATTTGAGCCTTATTACCACATATGGAGCTTGCCACTGCAAGAAAAGGAATTACAAAATGACTATTATAAGCTTCAGAATCACCGCGGACTGTTGATTGACGAATATTTAGTTCTTTAATAAGATGCAAAATCAACTCTTGGGACTTTTTATCTTCAAATTTATCGATACCACAAGTGAATTTAGGAAGATCTTTGTAATGAGCCGGTAGTTTGAATATATTGCTAACATCATTGAAGGTCCATTCCGAATATGGTTTCTGTACAGTATAAACATTGATTTTAAGACTTAGAGAGTTCGTTGCTACACAGAACTTGAGATATTGTTCATATGATTTATTATCAATTAGGCTTTGCTCCTCATTATTTTTGGCATTATCATTACTGCCACAAAGAATTAAATCTTCTGGATCAACTTCTTCTGGAAAAGATAATTGGTCGTGAATATATGTCTTTAGTTCTTTTAGTGACAAGTTGGAAAAGTCAATAGTCCAGCTAAATTTCTTGCTCTTTTTCGCATACAATGCCTTGATTAAAAATACTGTGAAAAATTACAACAAAAAATTAGAACTGAATTGCACAATAACTCAACTCCATATAAAATATAATATACCTTTTTGCCGACCTCGCAAAAATTCAAATTCTTTCTTCAATTCTAGTACTTCTTGAGATGGTTTTTCGACTATGGTGTGGATATAGTATAAGGCCCAAGTTAATAAATGAAATTATTGCGGAGAAAGCAGTATAGGTTTGGAATATTCGAATGCAGTCGTGGTACTACTTACCCTGGTCCTTGTCTTTGATTTTTTTAATTAATTTCACGATTCTTTTTGCCGGTCCCAGTCCCAATCCACCTTGAAGCTCTTCCTGAGTCAAGTCAAGGAATTCTTGGCCTTCAATACGTTGTTTACGAAAAAATTCGAAATCACTTTCCATAAGATTTAAGTTTTGTTCGCCCAAAAATTCGATTATCTTTTCTGTATCCCATTTTTCTGTTTCGTCAAGAGTAGACATGGTTACTTATGTTATTTAAGTCTTGCTTAGACAAAAAGTTGCACAAATTTTTTTAAGGAAGTCGTCAAACAATCAAATTATCGTACAATAGATCACGCGTGCATTTTTTAATCGTAATCTCTGATCATACATGTGATTTTGAATACAGTAATAATATCATTGTTCCGTCATAACTATACATGTTGGCAAAATATCCCAAATCCCAAATCCCAAATTCTAGTATAACTAATATCTCAAAAACTTTATTAATAAACTTTATTTAAACAAATTATATAT